TTTGTTCGGCAAAGGGAAATGAAGCCGCGATTTAAATAATCGCGGCTTCATTTAAATTTACATGGCTGCCGCGCTGAGCCGACAAACAGCTGATCAGCTGTTTGTCGGCTCAGCGCGGCAGCCATGTAAATTTAAATGAAGCCGCGATTATTTAAATCGCGGCTTCATTTCCCTTTGCCGAACAAACAAATCTACATGGCTCCGTCAACGGAGCCATGTAATTTAGACGTACCCTAAGAGAGGAGAAACTGCTTTTGTAGTTGGCTAGCCATTCACAGTCTTTGTTTAATCCTAAGGTGATAGTGTAAAATTTGCAGATGAACTGTAGCTCTGCAGTTGATGTAATCTCTACCAGCCTTCATCAACCCCAACTTTCTGCTGATCAACTGGCATTCAAGAGCGTAAAAGAATTAAGCAGTGGGGTGGGGGAAAGGAGAGAGATTCTCCCCCCATGCAGTGACAGGCCCCAGGAGAGTGATGAACGGAGGGTCCAGACTGATGGACCCAGCTGGAAGTGTAAAGACTCACTCTACCCATCACTGGACTGCTCTCTCATTTCACACCTGAGCCTTTGTTTCTTTGTATGCATAACCGCACTCCACGTTGTCCCGCTCCGCCACACTGTTCGGCGGACTACAAATTGCAGCCAGAGCTCCTACAAAGAAGATGTTTATATTTTCTGTATGGGCATTAAACACACACATGAAGTCTCACATTTGATCCGAGCCGTCATCTCCTGCTGGGTTTCCATAAGGGCTGCATAGGAGTGTTTAACAGTTAATGGATACTTCATTGCAGAGGTTCATTTTTAAAAGTGTGTCTAAATGGACCTGGATGTGTGCACCATAGGGGAAAGTGGTTTGAAAAATCTGGCCCTTCTGATCATAAAGGTTAGCTTAGCTTTTATCGGATAGAATCAAAACCTTCAAACTATTGCTCATGGCAGTCATCCATACCACCGCAAGGACTGATCACATGAGTAGAGCACAAGCGTGTGCACGTGTGTGTCCAGGTCCAACCTCTGCACACACACACACACACACACACACACACACACACACAAAACGTGAGTGTTCATGACCATGGGCAGGTGAGCACATATAGTCCTTAAAGGGATTGCTCCATACAACAAAAAAATACGTCCACTTTCAAGATTGCAAGCCGGACACTTGCTACTTTATTTCACAGTCAGGGTGTGTCTAGACTACGGGATTTTGTTGACAGAAGTGACCACAAAACTATACCTGCGTCTACACTATCACTGAGTTCTGTCGACATAACGTCAACAGAACTCGGCAGTTTTGTTGACGGTGGTAAACCTCATTCTACAAGGAATAACGCCTTCTGTCAACAGAGTTCTGTTGACAGAAGGCGTTATTGCATCTACACTGTCCTTTGCGACAAAGCGGCTTGCTTTGTCGACAGAACTTGCCTCTGTCGACAAAAGCCTGTAGTCTAGACGTACCCTCAGAGTCTGGGGGAAGGGGAGGGTGTTCAGACTCCTACTGACTAAGTAGGAAGCATGGGAGGAGTGGCAAATGACTGCATAGTCCTTAATACTCTGAGCCCTTGTCTACACTAGAACTTTATTTTGAAATAATGCCCCCCCCCTACAAAGTCGAATGTATAGGCGGAGTGTCCACACCACCAAGCCTGATATTTCAAAATCATTCAAAATCTGTACTCCTGCTTTTCATCAGGAGTACCGCTAATTCTGAAATAGTTATTTCAAAATAGCGGTAGTGAGGATGCTCCGGTGCCACTATTTCGAAATAATTACTCCGCAGAGTCATTCAAACTAATTACTTCCGGGGCTCTAAGTCGAGGTAGCACATCCACATTAACAGAGCCTGCCTCGGACTAATTTTGAGGCTTCTCCGTAGTGTGGACACGCTAGTTCAAATGTATTAAATCAGGAATTAAGTCAAAATTACTAATTTTGAAATAGTTTCCTAGTGCAGACTTGGCCTGAGTAATTCCATTAGCCCTACCATGACCATGACCTACCTACTAGGACCCTACCATGACCACTCCCTGACTTGCATGTGAGTTTTTTGAAGCAGTGGGGTTCTATTTTTAGATATCGACCAGCTGTCAGTCCCCAATCAAACGCCTAAGACTTATCCTGAGGCCACAGGCCAATCCCTTCCCCTTCCTGCCTTGCTTTCCCCATTGGCAAAACAGGGATAAAAATCACACACGACAACTAGGGTGGTGTGAGAATCGGCGACGCTGCTTAGCAAATGCTGAGTGCTAGGTATTATTAGGAATATTATGTTTTTAAAACCCTTGTTTTAGTCACATACCCCTGACCTATTAAATCCAAAGGAAGTGCTTATCTGGCATGTCCAATATCAAAGTCCTAATGAACCCATTTTAAATTTAGCAACAGCTGCTTACACTGCTCTCTCAGGGCACGAACGCTCCTGACAGCACTTGCGTATAGATCACCATTTGCTAAGCAAAGAAGGCTTTTCCGCAGCTAGGTTTGAGGTTTATTTTGAGGTTTGGGGGAAGTAAATTAACATCAGTTATGGGGCGATCTCTGGCTGATAGGCCATTGCATGGTAAGCTTTTTTTATCAAGACAATCCTTGAAAGGGCCAAAAAGAAAGCCGGAAATGTCTTTTACATAGTGAGCACCCCCCCGTGTTACGCCGAATTCAAGCCTCCAAATCAGCCGTGAGGTTTGGCAGTGTTGGCTTTACCCCTTTCACAGGGCCACAGCTGCGACCAGTTTCCCTAAAAGAGTTGCTGTATTGAGAACAAAGTTGCTTTCCTCTCCCTGAGCCATCTAACAGGCTGGGTTCAGGAATGAATGCCTCATTTATCTCCTTCCAAAGCTTTGAGGTTTCACCTGGTGCACAAGGGGCTTCTTCTACTCAGCCTGCATCTTAGAGAAAGAGCCTTTTAAACCAGAGATGGGCTTCACCCAGCTCCCCAGACCCAAGCATCCCCCAACAAAGGGTCGTGGGGAAAGAAAGTATTTGAAGGAAGGACATGGATCGGGATCCAAATTTTACAGCTGGAGGCAGTCTCTCCTTTTATATGTGGTGTCTGGGATTCATGATGGCCAGGCATTTCTGCTAATTCCCGCTGGCCATGTGGATTTCATCTTTTTATAGGGCAGGGAAAGGCAGGTAATAGGATTTGCTAATGGTGCTCTCTACAGTTCAAAACAGGGGGTAAGATTTCTAGGCGGCTTCCTTCCCTGCGAGGCCCTGGCAAGGTTACCCTGCCTGCTCACCTTGTTGTGTCTGCTGTGTAGGCTTTTTGCTGTCTCACAACTGCTGAGCTTTTCTCCGCAGGTCCACCTTTGATTCAGCAGCTTGCCCCGGAACTCATTTTCTGAAGGGTTAAGAGAAATACAGTGTCAGGGAACAAAACAAAATCCTGTAGCCACTGGCCACACCACTTCAGCAGCGCCATCAAGACTAAGCAAGAGGAAGTCTAATGATTATTTGTACAGTGGGAGCATCCAGAAGCCCAGTCACTGGGCTGGAGCCCACTGTGCTAGGTGTGGGACATACATAGAACATAGTATCAGAGAGGTAGCCGTGTTAGTCTGAATCTGCAAAAGCGGCGAGGAGACCTGTGGCACCTTATAGACTAACTGAAGTGTTGGAACATAAGCTTCTGACATGCATCTGACGAAGTGGGTCTTTGCCCACGAAAGCTTATGCTCCAACACTTCGGTTAGTCTATAAGGTGCCACCGGACTCCTCACCACTTTTACATAGAACATAAAGATGGCTTCTGCCTTTAAGGGCTTATGCTACTGGCTTCTAGCACCAAGACACTACAGCTATGTCTACACTGGCGGCTTCTTGTGCAAGAACATCTTGTGCAAGGGTTCTTGTGCAAGAACTCTTGCTCAAGAACACGTCCAGACTGCTATGTGCGAGATGTGCTTTTGCGCAAGAGTGTCCATGGCAGTGTGGACACTCTCTTGTACAAGAAAGCTCTGATGGCCATTTTAGCCATAGGGTTTTCTTGCACAAAAAACCCCTGCCACGTGTCCACACTGCCCTCTTGCACAAGAGCTCTTGCACAAGAGAGCTTACACCTGTTAGAAAAGAGCGTAGCTCTTGTGCAGGAAGCCTTCTCTTCCCATGCTTTACTGTAAATCTTCTTGCGCAAGAGTGAGTGGGCAGCGTGGATGCTTGGCAGAAGAACGTTCATTCTTGCGCAATATACCGCCAGTGTAGACATAGCCCTGGTATATCCTTTTGGTACTCGTCAATCGGATCATCCCAGAACTGGACATGGAGAATTTCCAACCCTGTGACTACAGCTTAGTCAGAAACACCTGGCAGAGGGAGAAAACCAAACAGCTAAAGAACGGTAGGCCAGCCTGCTACAATTGCCTCAGAATTTCACCACCCATGACAGGATGAAAAAAAATATGTTTTACCTGCCCACCAAAAAAAAATTAATTTTCTTGTGATGGGATGGTGGGCAAAGATGAGGTGGGAAATAATATTTTACATGCTGCTATCGCCTGGTCTCACCCATTTCATTACACGCATTAGAGCCACCTCTGAGTGACTTGAAGGTGTGTTGTGGTCAATGGTTCAGCATTAGTAAAAGTTTGGATGGAACATTTAGCCTCCTCCAAAGCATTGTGGTTAAGAGTCGGACCCTGAGTTCTCCCCTCAGGAGGAGAGTGGTCCTGTCATGGAGGGACCCCCGGGCACATGGATTGGCATGGAAGGAGAGGTGAGGCCTGAAATGACTCAGTCCCTCCGCCTTCTGAATCCACAGAGGCCCTGGTGGGCCTGGTATCTGTGCCAGGGGAAGGGCGGAGTCCAGGTGGATACAGATGGCTCTGTGGAGCTTGGTCAGAAGAGATATGTCACCCGGGAGTGTCTGATCCTCATCACCGAGCCCGCCACCACTGGGAGCCAGCCCTAGGGGGCGGTCATCAGCAGTGCTGATGGCCTTGATTTCTAGGGATACTGGAAGAGCCATTGGGCTTGTGGGTAGGTCTAGGGGCATCCCATCCACCAGTGGGGACAGCCGAGCGGATACTCTGCAAGAGGCTCCTTATCAGGATTTGCTGGCCCAGAGCCCACCATTCCCTTCCGCAAAGGGGAGACCAGCCCTGCCTTCTCACCGAAGTTCCTGCTAAGCCGCGTGGCTGCACAGCTTCCCATTAAGCCCTACGCGGGGGTTCAGGGCCGCTGTGGGGAGAGGGGCCCCTGTGCTGGGGCCAGCTGGGAGAGGCGGTTCCTCCCAGTCCTCAGCAGGGATGTGGCCAGCGCAATAGATCCGGCTCCACGGGGCTCCACATACCACAGAGTCTCCAGCCCCTCTCAGGTGCTCCAGGACAGGCAGGCAGTCTGCCTTGGAGCTGCTCATCAGGAGCTGCCCAGGTAAGCCTGAACCCAAAGACACCTCCTGTGCCCCAAACCTCTCATCCCCAGCCCCACCCTAAAGCCCATCCGGCCAGTGCAGAGACTGCACCCCCTCCTGTACCCCAACTCCCAGTCCTGAGTCCCTCCCCAAACCTGGAGCCCAGTCTCACGTCCCAAACTCCCCTTGGCCTACCCCAGAGACCTCACTGCCTCCTGCACCCCAACACCTGACTTCACTTGTCAGCCGCCTCCTGCATTCCAAATCCCTTCACCCCACCACCAGCCTGGAGCTCCCTCCTGCCCCCCAAACCCTTCATTTCCAGAGCTAACCCTATGCCCAGCCCTGACACCCTCATCCCAGGCCCCATCCCAGAGCGCCCCCTCCAGCCAGAGCCCTCACACCCCTGCACCCTATCCCCCTGCCCCATATCAGAGCCCCCTTCCACACTCAGAACTCCTTTGCCTCCTCCCCTGCCCCCACCACAGGAATTGGGTTATGTGCACAAATATTAAGGGGTCACATGGACTAATGTGGAGTTGATGTGTGACAACAAAATTCATTCCGCTCAGGGATGGGAAATATTACAGGGAACACTGCTTCTCACTCTGGTAAAATTCTCGTGGAAGTAAGTCAGAGGGAGTTTTGCATGAATAAAGACCGAATAAGGCTATCAAGATGTGGTCCTAAGGATGATCCATCAGGTCCAGAAATATAAGAGTTCCTAGCCCTGAACCTGCAGCCAAACTTGGACTAAACTTTGACTGTTCCAAAATTCAGCCCTGGGGTTTCTACGGTGTTTTGGCGCCTTTCTTCTGTAACTTCCAAGTAGGTACTGACCCACCCAACTCCAGGGGGACATTCTTACAGCATTTCAACTGACTGAAAGTAGGGCAGGGCTCCTCAGCAGGGATGTGGCCAGCGCAATAGATCCGGCTCCACGGGGCTCCACATACCACAGAGTCTCCAGCCCCTCTCAGGTGCTCCAGGACAGGCAGGCAGTCTGCCTTGGAGCTGCTCATCAGGAGCTGCCCAGGTAAGCCTGAACCCAAAGACACCTCCTGTGCCCCAAACCTCTCATCCCCAGCCCCACCCTAAAGCCCATCCGGCCAGTGCAGAGACTGCACCCCCTCCTGTACCCCAACTCCCAGTCCTGAGTCCCTCCCCAAACCTGGAGCCCAGTCTCACGTCCCAAACTCCCCTTGGCCTACCCCAGAGACCTCACTGCCTCCTGCACCCCAACACCTGACTTCACTTGTCAGCCGCCTCCTGCATTCCAAATCCCTTCACCCCACCACCAGCCTGGAGCTCCCTCCTGCCCCCCAAACCCTTCATTTCCAGAGCTAACCCTATGCCCAGCCCTGACACCCTCATCCCAGGCCCCATCCCAGAGCGCCCCCTCCAGCCAGAGCCCTCACACCCCTGCACCCTATCCCCCTGCCCCATATCAGAGCCCCCTTCCACACTCAGAACTCCTTTGCCTCCTCCCCTGCCCCCACCACAGGAATTGGGTTATGTGCACAAATATTAAGGGGTCACATGGACTAATGTGGAGTTGATGTGTGACAACAAAATTCATTCCGCTCAGGGATGGGAAATATTACAGGGAACACTGCTTCTCACTCTGGTAAAATTCTCGTGGAAGTAAGTCAGAGGGAGTTTTGCATGAATCAAGACCGAATAAGGCTATCAAGATGTGGTCCTAAGGATGATCCATCAGGTCCAGAAATATAAGAGTTCCTAGCCCTGAACCTGCAGCCAAACTTGGACTAAACTTTGACTGTTCCAAAATTCAGCCCTGGGGTTTCTACGGTGTTTTGGCGCCTTTCTTCTGTAACTTCCAAGTAGGTACTGACCCACCCAACTCCAGGGGGACATTCTTACAGCATTTCAACTGACTGAAAGTAGGGCAGGGCTGAAATTAAGAATGTTTTTGGCCAAAGTTTTGCAAAAATATTGACCCTGATTGTGGGGAAAACATTCAAAAGTTAGAAGTTTTCAGCCAGTACTGCTAGAAACCATGTGAGCTAAACCAATCTCATGAAAGTCCGCCTCCATCTAGAGGTGAGCACTCTTGAGGGAAAGGGCTTAAATTCAATCCCAAGTCTGAGCATTTGAGGTTCACCCCTCAGTGGGGAGATAGCTTTGCTATTATTTCTATTGCAGCAGCATCCGGAGGCCTCAGTCCTGGAGGAGCCTATTGTGCTAGGTTCTGAACAGAGAATGAAAAGTCGGTTTCTGCCCCCAGAGATTGTCTAACCTAAGAACATTGGGCAGAGAACACTATGCTCCTGCTAATCTTTTCAGTGGTGAATTCCACATGTGGAGACCAGCTTCCAGGACTGGGAGATGGTACATCGAGAGGATGCGTCCTACATCAGGCTGGGAGATGTAGCGATGACTTTTATGGTGAGACTGCGGACACCATGCACCAAACGGTCTGTGGTACGGAAGAACGTCTGAATTCCTCTCTGGTCTTTGAGCTCCTTTGGCCTGACACAGATCCCCGTCTGAATTCCTCTCTGGTCTTTGAGCCCCTTCGGCCCGACACAGATTGAATTTTTCATCCTGCTCCTTCATTTGCACCTCTGAGCAGAGGACAAGCCCATCAACCGGACATTGTGAAGAGCTCTATGGCATCTCTATTCTCACCACAGGTTTCCATGACAACCATCTTTTACAAGACCAGCCTCTCGGGAGCGGGTCGTTAATCCAACCCACTCTAAACACACACAGCCCAGGGCTTTCAAGGGGAGGTTTCCTGCAGACACAGCCACTTTGGAGGGAGGGAGGACAAAGCTCACCATCTGAAGAGAGGAAAGCCGGCGGCCTCCTGCTTGAATAGGTAAGGCCCAGCTCATCACTGACCCTTGCATCACCTTTGGAAGAGCAGTGGCTTTGTGCGCTCACCTAGCGTCAGCCTCCTGGCCCTTACTGGTGCTCTGGAAGAGGAGAACCCATGACCCCATGCCTGCAGGCATACCCCCAACCCA